CCGTGTTCTCGTGGGAAGAAATTTTAACCCTTTGTTGAGATCTACTAGCTTTCATTGCAATGTAATGGCGTAAATCTTAAGTCTCAAACCGTCTTTGTGTAACAAATCGGGTTTTGTTAAGGTTGACGACAAACCGTGAGAACCTCTTGAAACAGAATGTTCTTGACTGCGATAGGAACGCTTCACGGTTGGGTGACTATATTAGAATGTATGCCTCTTCAGCTTTTATCACTCTAGAATATATCGATAGAGGAATAAATATAACAAATCAAAGGGAAATTTTAGAACTTCCGAGTTTTATGCTGAGTTGCACCAACCAATAGTTCTCGTTTACTTCACCTTTTCATTGGAAAATTAAAAGAAAGGTTTTTTTTTCCTATGACGCTCAGGTTTTTTAATTATTTGACGATTTTTTTTAAATTTCTTGTCCATTACCCTAGTTGGGTATTTTATCGATGATAACGAAAAAGTCGGTATGATTTAGTGTAGAGTATTTTCCGTATAAGTGCATCAAAGTGCAGACTCATGAGTGGCGACCTTACTGCAGTGGCCTAGGGTTGCAATTACCACTTGTCACTGATTCGTTTGGGGGGCAAGTGGTTTGATCTGTAATGAAGATATTGCTTTTACCCGATACAAGGGCGAATATAAAAGAAATAATCGATATTTGGCCACAATTTCTTTGGTAAATGTGTACTAAAATCCGATTTCCTATCTACATAGGTTTTGAACAATACACCAACGAAAAAAAATTCTGATCCTACATAGTATTCCTAGAAATATGCATCTTTCGGAGCAACCAAGATTCATTCTTTATTAAGGATAATGGTTTCTTTTATGTCAATTCCCCCACGGGTGTATATTTATTGATCGTCTCAAATTCAATCAATTTTAGTCAAAATAACAATTGTAGCATTGTTGATGATTACTTGAAGCTAGTTCCGGAAAATGATTGACTCTTTTTTTTTCCAAGTTTTTTCTATTCTTTACATCGAATGACGCCAAAATTCGTTTCTCGGCCCTTTTGATTTAAAAAAATCTCATATCTGTCGCATAAACAGTACCAACAGAACCGAACCGAACCGTAACCCTTGTTCAAATAAATTTCTCTCAAAAGCACTTTTGACAAGAGTTCCGCCGGGACGTTTTTACAGCGTCTGCGTAAGCAGGGTGATTTATAATTGTTCAGTGACAGTGCAGATTTTATCGGTATATTCTTTCGGTCTTCATTGGCAAGATAATCCGGATATTTATCGAAATTAGATCGTGAGGTTGCGTTCTTTCTTTTCTCCGTTCGACTCCTTTTGACGAAAAAAGAAAAGATTCGTTGGAATCTTCAAAACATACAGCCATTCAGCCAAAATTCATCTTGTAATCTTGCAAAAACAATTTTCTAAAAAAGTGTCATTTTAGCAGAAGAGATGTAATTATGAAAATGAGTGGAAAGAATTGTACATTTGTTTGTCGGTTACGCTTTCACAAATGTTAGAGTATCTTTGGTGATCTTTTTTCTTTTAGGTGTCCTGGATAGTAAGAAAATACTAGGGTTTCAGAAAATTTATGTACATTTCTAAGTGAAATAGACTATCATTATTTGGACTTATACTTTTTTACTGTGAGGTTCACTTTACCTCACTCCTCAAAATTTTAATATCGCCGGTTCAGAAAATGGTTCTTTGAAACAATATTGTGCTAGGACTATTCGGGCGCATCCCCGCGGATGAATTCTAGCAAGGAACTCATTTGCTTTGTTACGTTGTACAAACACTTTATTACGCAGTATTTAAGAAAATGCTAGTTTCATTTCGGAGACACAAGCACTATATCGATTATATTGATGTCGGAACGTCCTTCACAGACAGTTTTTTTTAGTAACTCCGAACTTTGTAGGAAACCCTTCTGGACAGTTAGCATACGAAGCCAAACTTTCTTTAGTTACTTTAGTTACTAGTCAAAGAAAAAATGATGGCTGGTACTTAACTGAAGAGTTCCAATTTGTATGAGAATAATTTCCCGAAAAAGCTCCTATTATTTCAAAGACAACTTTTTCCTCGTAATGTCTCACTTTTAAAGGAGGCATGTTCATTTTTTTAAGAAAGCAAAATCTTTCCATTCTTAGCACTTGCTAGAGGAAAGTTGTCGTTATGAACAGATTTCAAGACGATGGCATATGCAGGGCCAAGCAGATATACTTATATGCAGAACTATAAACTCAAGGCTCTCAGTGATTCGAACTTCCTCATTGTATTGCACGAGAGAGGAGAGTATCCTTCTGAACAAAATGACTTGTCATGGCAGAATAAAACTGTACTTTACAAAAGACATAAAACCGACAAGTCCTTTAATCAATGACTTTTTAACATGTTTTACAATAAAAAAAAAATAAGAAGATAGAGAGGTCGTTGGTTTCACCATTGCCGTAATGTAACAGATCATTATTTTCATTCCTTGTCGTCATGAATGTAAATGTTGGTTACAATATAACCAAATGAACTTTGGAACTTTCGATCCACACTTCGCACAATATCTAAGAACCGATTGAGAAACGCCATTTTAAACAAAACGGTGAATTCTAATCGTGCATTACAGATTTATCAAATTGATTTGCTGCAAGGAAAATTGAAACAAATAAACTAGATTTATTAAACAGAGCAAACAGCGATTACAGAAATCTCTAACCTTTTCCAGTTGTGTGCCGACAAAACACCTTTCATTCCCTTAAGAATAGCATAAACGTAAACAAAAAACTATATCTTTAAGATCGACAATGTAAGGGCAATGTGTAAGGGCAATGTGTAGCGAGAATATTCTAGGATATTTTATTATGAAGAATACCATGATATATTGAACAAGAAGGAGGGGAATGTGTCAATTTTAAAGTCTTGCAGTTTCCTTTGGTAACTTAACGTAGATAATAGTGATATTATACTTTAAAGTCCGCAAAAAATGATGCCTTTGTCCTGATTAAACTCCAGATTTAAAATGGATGAACTTCGAAATAGACATCGTTACAACACGAGGCCAGCACTTTGGAAAAAGGTATCCGCCTTTCTCTCACTCTAAACTAATTAAATCTAATTAATGAGTTTACTTTTTCTTTCAAAAACCAAAAGACTCTTGAGTTGTTTTACTTTCTTCGCATAGCTGTTAATTGGTGATCACGCGTTTGACCTGTTTCAACTCAACCTGAAAAATGGTGTCGTCATGATGTAATTCTCATTATAAATAATTCTGTATGTTTAGATCGTCAAAGTATTGCAAAATGAAATAATTGTGGAAGCGTGGTCCAGAATGTCTAACATTCAAAATGATTCTTATCAAAGATATACACTGTATCACATTAAGGGTTTTTGATAGCGAGACACTTTACGAGAAAAATGTTTAAAAAGTTAATGTCATATTAAGAGAGTGCTAAAAAGCTTTGTAAAACGTTTGACAAATTGTAAGAAAAATAGTCAAAAAGCTGTTTTGATTGCATAAATATTTTGTATTTTGTTTAGCATAAAGAATTCAGGCAACAATGAATTCTTCACAAAGGTCTTAATGAGGTGTTAAAAGACTTAAAATAACTTAGTTGTTGTATAATCAAGTGGCACTCGTTTTAGTTTTTCTTGCCCAACATCTATTGTATTCTTTTGTCATAACCTTTCTTCCAAATAAAACTCCATACAATATTAACCGTATAAGTTTGGAAAATTTTAGTGCAAGGAATTTTTTTAACGTATTTCAATCAGATGAATAAAGTTTTGTGTTCTAAATGATCACAGATTTTCAGTCTTACGAAAGGTGTGCATTTCTAGTAAATTAGCCAAAACCAGCTTAGGTGTTTTACATGATTTACGAGGGCTAAGTACAAGTGTTCATGTCCTTTATATTAGCTACAACGTAGAGTAAGCTTGAATGTTCCATATCATTTGTGCAGGCTTACGACCATTCTAGAAATTCCTTCATTTATTTTCAATTTGCTTTAACGAGTACTTAGGTTCTCCCATGTGCTACGTGACTCGTGTGTGGATGAAATATGTGAAACTTTGCAGTATGAGTTAAATTTGATCATTTCTCCTTTTTTTTTGAAGGTTTACAAGTCTTATAAAAACACACACATACACACCATCAGGTTTTCTCTATAAAAAAAAGTTGATTTTATTAAATAAATATTCTTTCCAGTCGAAACTTTCGGCCCTCTTGACTTTACTAAAAAAAAAATGTTCCTATAAATTGTTTTGGCTTAATTGAAGATGGATTACAACGTAGTTTTGTTCAAAAAAGGCAATAGCAAACTTAGTTCAAATAAAATACGACCTAACTACACTTTACACCCGGAATGCCAAAGAGTTCTCATTTAATGAAACGTATGTTGGTATTTTTACAGGCATTCACCGATAAAGTCGCACGTAAAGTATAATTTTAGTACTTCCTGATAAAGACTAACGACTAGTACCAATGTAGCAGTCGAAATACCGCCATCTTCACTTGATAGCTTGACCGCACAATTGATGATTTTTTGCAATTATCCGCACTATCATAACTCTAATGAATGAACACATCTTTTATAATTCTTCCTTTCATCTGAAATAAACTACTAGTGAGAACTGATCGGGAGTAACTTTTTAACGCTTTCTTTTATGAAAATGCGCTTTGGTAAAGGTTCCTCTGAGCTTTTGGAACCATACATGGATGTATTTCCCGTTCATATTTGGCTTTAAAACGTGGACACTTCGTATCGTCGTTTTAATCTGTTTTAGATACAGGTGGTTTTAATTAGCTAGACATTATAATTTGATCGACGGAACGTACAGAGTACGCCCCAAAACGTGGACATTCGGTGGCAGCTCAAACTCTTCACGAATATGCTCCGATATTGGTGCTCTAGACCTGTGTCTTTCAGAGCACGTCCTGGAGTATGCTGTGGACACTCAGAAATGCTATTTGCTGGATTACTTGATAAGCTTTCGAGAGCGACTCCTAAAGACAAACTAGCCATGAACGTAGCACCTCTCCCTCTCAATAGTTCACGCTATATTTCAGATAGTTGATTGGCGTGATAAAATCTTATTCACTGTCAAGCATATTCTTCTTCTATTTCTAACACACAGCGACTCGTAGCTCATTATTTTACTTAAACACCGATCACTTACAGTCTCTCTTGGTAGCATTCCTATAAATTAACAACATTGCGGCGATTAGTTGTCGTCTGGAGAATATTCAAAACTCCTCTACCCCTCCTCCGGCCAGTTGTAATCTCTTTCTCCTTCAGAATTCTCTACAATTTTACGGATCTATTTTACAGTGGGAATTTCAAGTATTACTTTATTTTTAGCCCGAATGCCTTCGGGTCGAGCCATGAACTCGGCTTCATGTTTTTTTAAGTTTTTCCTGCATTTCGACAACATTTAGAAGGGTTTTCCTCAAGGTCAGTTCAAAGAAAAGCAATAAAATTGTCTAAGCATGCTTTACACTCTATTAGAGTCCTGATAATTTCAAAGGACTTTATACGCCGTATTTTAATTATCTAGCGAGGTTCCATAGAAAGTTGAAAATATCAGTTCATTTTGATACCTTATGGTCGTACTTGACATCTGACCCGACCGTAGCAACGTAAGAAAGCTTTTTTTCTGATTTGATTTCAACAACAATTCACTTGACTGATTGATAAAATTCTAAAAAAACTCTTGCAGATATTTTTCTTTATCATTGGTTATTTTTAGCATCTTGCATCGCTTTTTATGCTGAAATAGTCTCTGAATTATAATAAGGTGGCATGAAAAATTTTCATGAGATCAGGTGACCCATTTTCTATTCAATGGCTTCGTACAGATGTTGGGATTGCGCGGTATTGCGGCGATTCTGTGAACTGACTGAAGCCCCCCTGATTGGCTGGTTCTGAGAGCTCAGTGAGGCTCCTCGGCTTGGACCGTTTTTCGCCTGGTCTTGAATGATCGGCGGTAATTCCGCTTCATCCTCGTCAGTCACTGAAAAGTGAGTGACGCCATGTTTGTTGTCAAACCCATCGTCTGTGAAGTGGGCCACAACCTGAAAACCCATGAAAACATTCAAGAAGTTTGATATACAAATCCTTCTGCAAAAATCATGGAATGGCATTTCCTTTATTTCTTTAATAATGAAGCATACAATTTAGTTCATTTCAACGGTGATCCTCGAGGTATAATTGAGAGAACACAAGACAGGTGGGAAAAGCACCGATTTCCGGTTGATGTTAGCATTTCGTATCAGAGGAAGTACGAAGAATCATGAAAAGCTCTCGAAAACATAAAATGCCAGAAAATGTTTTGGTTAATGGTTAGCCACGTGTAGCCATGTCTGGCCGGCTATGATCTGCCTAGTCACTCCTGGGTCCTAATACTCAAGGTACATCTGCTTTTGTGTGGGCTCTTACCTCTTGTACTTCGTCCTCAGCCTCTTCATAAGCGCCATCCTCCTGTGTCTCCATGATGTCTGCCATTTCAATGGTCAACGTACCGTTTCTCTGTGACTTTGACCGTGGGGAAAATGGATTTGTGTAGAGAGATGGATTCTTTTCCGTTCTAGTTGGCCTTGGTTTTAGAGCTGGTCTGTGTTTATGAAAGAAATTAAGATGATAGGTATAGATAGGTATTTTATTATAAGACTTTGCAGTCCCGCGGCTGAGTTATTCATAACAATGATGCAATTAAATATTTACATAAATATATCTATCAAAACTAAGTACAAAGATAATTTCTAATAAAATGGCAATATAACCTAAAATTTTATATAATTTACTGACCTCAATCGAAGAGGATATACAAAAACTATTCTTAACTCAGTTTTAACCGTTACTAAGGTAAGGTAGGTAAAGCCATAAATTAAACAGTCAAACATTCCTTCAAGCATTCGGAAGCATTGATAATACGTACTGTTTCCGGATTCGACGATAGAAAAAGCAAGCCAGGAAGATAAGGAAAAATAGCATGATTATTAAAACCCAGAGGAAAGGCCCTAGAAAAAAAGGGAGAAAAAAAATGATTTAAAGTTGAGAATTCTCATCGTTATCTCATTGTTACAAAAAAATAATGAACTGTTCTCTCTCGTGCCATAAGTAATATGATGGCTACTTACACCACCAATAGTGTCGAATCGCAATTTCACTTTTTGTGATTATGGTGTGCGCTGGAAAGTAAATAGATAAGTTCTATTAGCCAATATTTTACGCAAATCTGTCCGGACGCGTAACTTCTTGTATAACTTTATTACTTTATATGATTTTCCTCGTAATCAAATCTATAAGAAAATTCTCGAAGGCGATTGGTTATCATCAGCCCGATTTGAGCACCAATAGGACAGTGTGTGCGTCAAGCTTGTCATTGGAAAGTATAATAACAGACCGAATTAGACTCCACTCGGTCCTATCACCAATAGTAAGCCAAGATTGACAGTTCAAGATCTTCTTTGAGTCGCACATAGTGGTTGTCACTTTACCTAGCTCCTGAGAAATCAAATGTAAGGCTCTTCGATCGCAATTAACTTCCCACTTCTTTAGTAATGAATTTCTTCAGTTAGACGTCCAGCAAGATGTTGGAAATATATTGAAGGATTCCATCCAAAATGAACTTTGAAAAAAAACCAGTTACAAAAATTCTAAAGAAATTACACATTCTCTTCCTCTTCCGTAGTTTATTTATGATTGCAGCTATTATAATATCAACAAAGTCAATAATTAAAAGTATGTACCAGTTACGTTCCCTTTGCCAAAGACACCGACTCTCAAGCATATCTTTTCCTCCCACGACACAGGTTTGAACCGAATATATCTCACAACTAAAGGGTACGGAAGCTCACAGCAGGATACAGACCCGGCGTCTTTGTTCCCATCAAATATCTGTACCAACAAGAAAAAGAACCAATTTTATATGCTATCCTAATCATTTGACTATCAAATGGATTAATCATTTAGCAAAACTTATATGGAAAACGTTGACTATCGTGGTAAAGAAAATCTCCTCGGATTTTATCGGAGAATATTGAGTTCTAATTTCTCTACAGTAAAAGTTTGAAATATGTGGTAAAGCACTTATTAAACCTCCAAACGTTTCATGTTTGTAAATAGAATAAAGCCGGAATGATGATAAAATTTGACGTTGGTGGTGAAAAAATATCTATTTCTTTATTTCTTCACCGAGCCCAAAATTTAGCATCTTTCTTATTTTATTTTCAAAAATGACTCTATCGTCATTACTGATCGTAGTGGTATGCAAAACGTGTGCCATACATGAACTTCGTAATGGCTTTCTTCACCATAGAGTCTTTGTGACTTAGCGGTAAAACACCGGAGAGTCGAATCGGAAAGTCTGAGGCTCGATTCCTCTTCTCAGATTTCTAAAAAATTTTTTTCCCACGCTCTTGATCAGAAGAAAAACATATTCTCTTATTTATGTATCTCTTACCTTTAATTTTTTATCGAAATAATACCCGTTGTAAGTTTCACCATCAGAGCTATACTGCAGTGTATATTCTTTAACCCAGCTGGTGATGTTAGGGCCATTAACATCCTTAGAAGGATCGTTCAATCCTTGGGTCGCGATATGAGTAACTTTTGACGTATATGCTGAAATAAAGGGTGATGTCCTAGTATTAATCATAACAAAAATACAATTTCATTGTTGTAATTTTGCTATTAATTGGTAACAGGTTGTCATGTCGCTGCGCGGTCATCCGAGTTTGTTATCACTCTTGTGATTGCAGATCGAACTGGACGCCACTTAGTCCAATTGCAATTCTAACCAATCAGCCTCATGATTATGCTCTATGAATGTTACTCAATCCATCCATCAATCGGGAGATGGATTTATTAGTTTATTAATTTATCAAACCATCCATTATTTACGCCGTCAATAATCAATCTATTCATTGGTACACATAAATTCTTCGGTTTTAGGAAGGTCACGTGACTCCTTTAGCTGATCCATACTGCTGAACAGAAGCACAGTACTTTTCTCAGTTTATAATTAAATTAACCCTTAAACTCCCATAAGTGACCAAGACAGAGTTTCTCCTTACAATATCAATACAAGTAATGAGAATAAAGTAAACTATTAATTATTAGCTGATCCAATATCAAATTCTCCAGACTAACATAATGAGAATCGTATGGGAGACAGTAAGGACAATTACTAAAGAGATCTTGGGAGTTAAAGGGTTAAGTAAACACAGACACTACGATACGTTTGTGAGGAAAGACAAACACTCAGGGCTGGGTTGTTCAGAGCTTGTTTGGGATAACCCAGGCTCAGTGTGAAATTTGATTACAGATCTGAAAGCTTTAAAAAATTCAGTTAAGTTCTCTTTGTCTACAGTTTTATTTCTGGATGCTCTAAAAAGGAAGGAAAAAATCTTCTGAAAAGGGCTCTAGAATAGAGAAACTAAGAAACCTGAGCCGGGTTGTTCAAAGCTGGGTTAGGATAACCCAGGGCTAGTGTGAAATCTGATTTCAGATCTGATAGCTTTAAAATAAAATTCGGCCGAATTCTTTTTGTCTATAACATGACTCTTTGATGCTCTAAAAAGAACACAGGGCATTATTCCAAAAAGACATTTGAATAAAGGAATAAAGAAACCCAGATTAAAATTCAACCTTGGTTTAGCACTAATCGGCCTTCGAACAACTAGATATTTGACTCCATGCTCGCCATAGCTGTGGGGATGACCATAATTACTCCAAGGCAGAGTCTTTGTCCTTCGATTGATCAATTTTTCTGTCTGCCTCTCGGTTATCAGATAATTCTCAAAAATTTTGCTCCTCGTAATCTTCCGTCATGTCTCCAGGGTGCTAGTGCGTATAAAGTATCGTTTGTGATCACATAACTTTAAAAATTTAAGAAAGTGGAACCTAAAGTAAATCCATCTGCATTACCTCCTTTTAAATATCCTGGCCCTTTTCAGCCAACAGAGATGTTTAGGGATGGAGGCCATATTTCACATAAAAAAAAAAAAATTGGCAGCAAACTGATGCTCAAGTTTTTGCAGATACTCTGTCTCTGACCCAGGTCCTTTTAGTTCGCTTTAGATTTTTACTCACCGAGATCCACCTGTAAATACTGATCAGTGTTTGATTCCTGAGCGCACCAGGCGGTGCCCTGGGAACCAGTTGGGCCCTGATTGAGTCTGCCTCGACCTGGCCCATGACTGGCATCAAGAGTAGAAGATGCAGTCATGGCCTGATCCGGGATATGGCCATCCTCTACTCCTAGTTCCTTTAGCTTGGCTGTAGGGGAAGAATCGTTGTATCAGTAACTTTCTCTCTCTCTTGTGAACGCTCTAGAAATTTATGCTCGAAATTTTGTTATTTTGCTTTTGTTTTGTTTTGTTTTGTTTTGTTTTGTTTTGTTGTCTTTTTCTTTTTCGATATATTTGTTTTTTGTTCTCAAAAAGCTAAGCTCACCCTACTCTTCGTTTAGTATCTTAGCTTATTCGGTTAGGTGACATAAACCAAAGAAAAGAGGGTTTCGATTTGTTATTTGGTTTTGTTCTAATGTTTTCGTGAATATACCAAGAAAATATTTTTTATTTTATTAACGTGACAGAGCAAAGCTAGGCGCAGGGGTATGTGAAATGACAGAAAAAAAAACAATTAGAAATGTTCTGGTTGGTGATCAGTGTACTATACATTACATTTCAGTTTTGCACAATATTGTGGTAAGTGTCCGTGAAGAAATATGCATGTGCCTTCAATTAATCACAAACGCATAACAACGCGAAATGCCATTGAAATGAAATCATTTAGACGAATCTATCACTTAATATCACAAAAATTAGGATGAACAAACTTGAATGGACAAAGATGTTTAGTGTTTATCAGAAATAAACGGTGGATAATGAATATATCTAGAAACTATTATTTTAACATGTACTTGAAAGTTCGTGTGTTCACCCGAGCATCACTCAAGCGTTTGAATGCGTTAAGTTCAGATTATGCTAGGTTAAAAACTAGAGTTGAACAACGTAATTAACTAGCTAAGAATTGTTAAACTGCCACGGAACTACCAGGAAAGTCGTGATAAAACATGATTCCTAAAAGACAAGAAGTATTCTATGGTAAATAACTAACAGCAGTAAACTTACCAACATCACAATTACAGGAGCGAACAACATCGATACACAAACCAAAGGCAATAATATACATCAAAAATATCGCTTGTGGATATCTTACCAAACGCTTCATCGGAATACCGTGTTGTGGTGATCTCACAACGCTGAGTAAATACTCAAAGGCTCGAGAGAAGCAGCAAAAAGCTTCTAAGAACGACTGATATTACAAAAATGATCACAGCTTTTGTTATATGTTGACCAATCTAGAAAAAATGTTGAATAGTAAATTACGTGTTTTCCTGTGCTCATTTCATAGTCCACTTCACTTGCAAACCTATTCCTTAACATAAATCTTAGCTAGCAACGTTCAAAAACATCTCTGGTTATTTGGAAATTTTAGGTTTTCAAATAGCATCATTTATCTGGAAAAAAAAAGACGGTCACTGATCGTCTAAGTTCATTTGGATCCTTTCGACAGTTTCAAACTTTTTTAAGTTCTGTATCGACACTCAGTATTCTGAACAAAAGAACAAAAGATGGAATATTCAAAACATAGTTGTATAGCAGATATACATGTCATGAGCTCGGATCATACCTCACGCGATGATTTAGTGGACCTTTATCCGAGGGTCTCAATTAAGTTAACCGTTAGCCGTAAAGTGGCACAAAAAATTAGCTGCTAAACGTAAAAACTGACAAGCTTTTAACTATTCGTCGTCAAAAAATTGAACCATAATTTTTTTTTAATAATCAGTGTTGATTTGAAAGTTTCATAATCTTAGACTGTCATGTGTCTTGTCTTGCTTGTGGCACATGCAGGAAAAAGAAAAGAAAGTTACTCTATATCGACCCATCGGTAACTCTATCGAAAATTACCCTCGTTGCTTGACTTTAATATTAAAAGCAAGCGATTAAACATGTTTTAGAAAAATTAAAATTAATTCATTATTTAACATTTCCGCTAACTGTAACAGAAATAGGTTAACCGTTAGCCATAAAGACCATCTTCTCCAAAACATTGAGGAGAGTAAGATGCATTAGATACTATTTTACCGAATTAATTTTTTTGGCAGTACTTGAAAAAACATCACTGACTGATTTCATCTATCTGAGTGACTATCGGCCGATAAAAAGTCATTCTAAAATCGAAAACGTTAATGTACGTTAACACGGTTGGCGAGTTTACGTTGAAATCCATGGTTATTCCAATCTCAGTACATGTGGTCAAATTCAGACTCCGATATTCGGAAATGCATTGATTTCAAATCACGACTTGTTATTTCCAACATTTTCTTTCCATCAGATTTTTTGCAATGGTAAATTTTCGATCTCTGTCCCCATTTAATATATAAGTTGTTAGTTTTTCTCTTTTTTTTAAGCAATTATGGTTTATTTCATTGGCAAAACCCGCGAAAGTTTTTACTTGGACTCCAGCAAACGTGCCTATATCAAGGCCATCCTCAGAAAAATTTGATGGGTGAAATGGGACGAGACATGGATCGATAGGACACGAATACAAGAAAAAAGAAAGAATAAATGAAAAAAAAAAAGTATTTAGGAAACAAAGGATAATAATTTCTGTATGAAAAGTTACATTCAGAACCATGTGAGAGTGTAATAAAAGTCGCAAACGTTTTTCTGTTGTTTGCCGACCTTTCTTCGGCGTGAGCTGATCCAATTCAAAAACATCTAAAAATCAACTAGCGTGTGCTAATATTTGTCCCTTTTTTCATTGTCTGTTTTCCGATTGCTAAACGTCTCTTTTTCATTCTTCTTTGCAAAACGAACGTCACTCCAAGTCTACAACAAGCATATGATTTTTAAAAGTACCAGAATTTATTAGGTGTCACCTTATGAGCTTCTGAATATTATCAGTGTAATTCACACCTTACAGAACTGCTCTCATGAACATTCTGCTAATATAACAATAAAACAGCATATTTACTAGAACCATATAAAAGCTTATGCAAGAGTAATAGACGGCGGAACCCCACTGACTCGAACTTCCGTTAACTCGAACAAGTTTTTGTTTCCCGTTAGCGGGTTCTACCTTTTCCAAACTGTAACACTGCTCGGCTAACTCGGTTTCATAATGAGGCAAGAATGGTTCCCCCCTCCCCCTCCTCCCTTATAAAAAATATCCCAAGTACAATGAGCATTTGTGCGATGCTCTAACAAACTGATTATTAGTTGTAGTTTTGATGTTTATCAGTTGCTTTTTTCTGTTGCTTCACCTTTTCTATGCGATTATAGTATTGATACAAAAAAACAAAAGTGGTTAAATATCATCCCCTTTAACATTATAGTAAAAGAACATCATAGTGAAATAGGAGAGTCCCTTTAAGTAAGCGTTGTTTTCTTAAAGCGGCAATTTTGTCTCTGTTACAATTTTGATACCATTTGACACGTGTGGGGAAACGGTAACAAAATTCCTTGTTTGCTTATAGTTCTTTTGTTTTTATTGTTGTTGCTGTTGCCGCTGTTAATGTAATTTAATGTAAACTAAGTCATGATTGTGCTCTCGAGACGGACAATCAGCTGGTCAAAATTTGGTCTTGCGCTAGGATTTGGATTCCAACAATCTCCCATGGTCCGGTACCTAAAAAAAAAAAAAAATGGTTACATAAAGCTGCGTTTACTTAAGAACTCATAATTTTTTAATTTTGGTAATTTGGAAATGTTGTCGTCATTCCATAAACATTAAGAAATCAATAACTATATCAGGCCCTGAAGGGATGAGATAGAAATTTCCACTATTTGTTTGCTTTGGCTAAATTTGTTAAATATGGACTGCATACTGAGATAACTGAAGGCTTAGTTCAATCTCATTTAAGCACTGCCCATATCGTTTCCCATATCGTTGTGGTAAAAACAAGTCAACAAGTTTAGCGAGGTCGGTACTCTTATCGACCGCGATATCCGTCATCGAAATGTTGTGGACCACTCTGATGACGAATATTGTTGTCGATAACAGTCCAAACCATTCTGCACCACTGTCGATTTGTCAAACCGAGTGGAACGATGTTTTTTCTAAATTAACTTTGTTTGAGAACTCGGTGTAGCATATGTTTAAATATTCAACGCGAAGTGAAAATTATGGCAAGCCTTTAAAAACAATTAAGAATATCTAACATTTCTTCCGAGCATCCGTGAGGTTTCCCCAATCTGTATCCCCTCTTTAGCTCCTGTATCAGTTCCGCGGTACTAAGGCCAGGGTAAGGTTTCAACCCTAAAAGCAGGGAATATATCTTAGTTACATTAGCCGTCCTAGATATCGTTTTTAAGACACATAACGCCAAGATTTCTACTCTGACTAATACGCAGAATCTTACCACCTTGTGCTCGATACTTCACCGTTTCAAAACTGACTATGAACATCAATCTATCCATCATCAACTTAGGTTCATACACGAAAAAACTGTCACGCAGCAGACTTCTTTTCCTTTTGCAAAACAGATATGCATTCAACGCAAACTTCTGACAGAAAGTAATTTTAAAAATGAGATTAAACGTTGTGAATTCTCTTCAGAAAATGCATCACAATGTTGAATGACAAATGAAACTGCAACTAACTCGCTCAGACTCAGTTTAAACTCAACAGCAACAAATAATTTTTTTGCATCAGATGCAGTACTAGATGGAAACAGGACTTACCTCCTGATTCTATTTCCCAAAGCAGTACTCCATAAGACCACCTGCGTTTGAACAAAAAAAATTTAAAGATTAAAAAGAGTCCAGAAAATAAGAATTAATCTTTTGCTCATTAAAAATAGATTTAAGGAAAAATTAGTGTTTGGAATTAGCGAGATATTTTGTTCTGTTTTAAATATCTTAGTCCGTCCTAAACTCACCACGTCCCTCCCTCTGGCTAAATGTATAAATGGTGCTAATGAACTGTCAAGGAAAATTACGAAATTTTGGGGCTCACATTAGTAGCTGAGCATTCAGTCAGGATTTTAGCCTCATACCTAGGCCATTTAAAGTGACTTACACGTCAGATTCCATCGTGAAAGTGTATGTCTCCAAGGACTCGATAGCCATCCATTTAACCGGAAGTTTGCCCTGAAAGGAGCAAACAAAAGAATTATGTATTACATGAGTTTAAAATTCTTCGACAGAATGACTGCGTTTAGGTTGGCCTTGGGTTGCCGGATGATTTCATCCGATTGTACCATATAAGATATTTTTGGGAAGAAGATGTAACGTAGTGTGAAGGTGCTCTTGGACCCTGCGTCATATAATGGTTGAGTTTTATTTTATGTTATTATTATTATGTCCTCTTTCCGAGTGTTTTTCTCTGGGTCATCCAGTTCCCCCCCCCCTCTCAAAAACCAACTTTTCAAATTCCAATTGGAGCCGTAAAGAGTGGACAAAAAGAGCCACCTCATGGAATATCTACTGGTAAATTCCCATTCTTTCCATTTAAATAGATATTTTGAACACCAAACTTTCATAATGTAGTGCACAAGAGCATGAAGATCAGCTGTATGGAGGGAGTACGAATCAGATCTGAGAACCACAAAAATGATAATACTTTTAAATCTATATACTCCTTGCACTTTTAAGACGTAAATTACCTGAGTTTCTTTCTTGTACATCAGCTGTTCGTACACATCACGTGCCATACCATAATCGGAAACCTTAGCAACGTAGTCCTTCCCTAGTAAAACATTCCTTGCTGCGAGATCTCTGTGGATACACTGATACAAACAAAATTCCAAGTCAAGTTTGATTGTTGTAGGTGTTTGTTAAAGTCACTTGACAAACATCAAATTTCTCAGAAGTTTGTGCGTTATCAAAATTTACCCTTTGTTTGAATGGTATCATAAAGGAATTCTGTCCACAGAATCAAAACTAAGATTGACGAGTTATCCTGCATTAAACGACTATGAATATATGAAAGTCATATATTTGAATTGCGGATAAAGATGTGAATATGAAAGCGATCTTCGCAGGAATGAACACCCCTTGAGTAGCAGTGAAAATAAGGCCCGAAATAATTCAGGCCGGTACGGGATTTGAACCCATGACTTCTGCGATACCATGGCAGTGCTCAACCAACTGAGCTAACAAGCCAACTGGGAGCTGATCATTATGTTGGTTCCAAATAAACCCGTAAATTAATGAAGAAACGACTGAGAATATATGAAAGTCATATATTTAAACTGCGAATTAAGACGTGAATGTGGAAGCGATCTTCGCAGCAATAAACTTATAGCCTTATTTTCACTTCTGCCCAAGTAGTGTTTATCATTGCAAAGATCGCTTTTACATTCACATCATCTTACATTATTGCGTAACGTTCCCCAAACAAAAACCAAAACATTTTCAAATAGAAAATGAGGTGAAAAAGGAAAAATATCAATAATATTTGCAGATTCAATCCCCAACTGTCAGAGGTTAAATTACCAAAAAATAAAACTGAGTGGTAAACTAGACAGTGCTGAGGATCGATGGGGCATGGTAGGAAGGAAAGTGAGTACCCTTAAAATGTTACAGCTACTACTTTGAACTCACCCTACAGCGTGCTAAATGTGCCATTCCTCGCGCCACATCGACGGCTATTGATGTTTTCATATGTTCTGTTAAGCCGCTTCTAGTGTTATTTCCATCTTGTTGTCTGTACCGTTTTAAGAAATCTAGCAGGCAACCGTTTTCTGCTAGCTCTATTATAACGAGTAGGTGGTCTAGAGATAAAGAAGTTAATGGAATGAAGACTTATCTACAAAAATTTCAAAGGTTAAGGGCGCCAAGTTTCAAAATTTTTAGTATTTCGGTTATGACATGTAAAATTACGTTCCTTTTAAGGAAAAACAGCAATTGTTAGGTTGGTGAGATCAAAAACATGAAAATGGGAAGAAAAGAACGAGGATAGCAAAGAATGAAAAATATTGACTCTGACTACAAATGACGAGCTTGGGAAATTAGACTGTTCTTTTGGATGAGCAATATTGCTTTTGACGTAAAATGAAAATACAAAATATTAGTTTGGTGAAAAATAATCACAATAATATGAAAAGAATAAATGAAGAAGCGAAGGATGGTCAAAGGATGGAAGAAGCGAGGATGGTCAAAGATGGAAAAGATTTAAAAGGGTTGCAAACAAACATAAAAAAATTGGGCTAAAAGTTTCAAGTTGCACTAAATGTGAATCGCTTCTTTAATCCCCACCAACTACCAAAGGTGATTGACGTGTAACTTCTTCTCACGATATTGAGACATTATCCACCAAATATGCGAAGAGCTTGAGGATCAAAGCAGCACTAAATCATAACTAATTGAGTAATAAATGTGTGGTTACTAGTAGGGAGAACTGCATTTAATTTTTTATAGTAAAAGGGTTACTGTAGGGTTCTGAATGATAGTTCAAGTGTTTTACTGACCATCTTGTGTGCACGCTCCGATCAAATTCACAAGGTTCGGATGGTGTCCTACATTGACCATGATGTCCAACTCATTGAACAAGTCTTTCCTTTCCACCTCTGTGGCAGTTGCTGTTAAATAAAACAAGGGACTGACTACCAGGTAATAAGTAATAATTGACCAACTGAATGATTGCCTGACTGACTGACTGACAGGCTTACTGGCTAAGTGCTGACTGACTCACTGACTTACCGACTCACTGCCTCACTGACTGGCTGGCCAGCTGACTGGCTGACCGGCTGACCGGCTGCCTGGCTGACTGGCTGACTGACTGGCTGGCTGACTGGTTGCCTAGCTGACTGGCTGGCTGGCTCACCGGCTGACTGCCTGACTGGCTGGCTGGCTGATTGGTTTACTGAATGACTGACTGACTGGCCGACTAGTTGGCTAGCTGACTGACTGACTGACCAATTGACAGACTGATTGACCAACATACCGGTTGACTGACCGGCTGACTGACTAGGCTGGCTGACTCGGTTAGCTGTCTAACTGGTTGTCTGGCTGGCTAATTGACAGACTGTCCTAACTACTAGTTGATTGGCTGACTAGTTAACCGACTGACTGGCTGTCAAACTGGCTAACCGACGGACTAACTAATTGCTGCCTGTCTGACTGATTAAAACTGACAAGCTGACTGCTTAACATGCAACGCGTGAACCTTGCATGCAAGACTTACGTTTTAAAGCTTTAACAGCGCAAGGAGTGATCCCGTTCCTTTTTAGCAGCTCTCCTTTATAAACGACACCAAAGGCTCCCGAGCCCAGTTCATTCAACAGTTTAATATTCTGGTAGGGAAACTCTTCCCAGTTCATCTCACTCGGCTTGTAAGCAACGTTTGAAAACGAGTATGTTAATCCTTTAACATCCTCATCATGGTAAACTGCTGCTTTGTTCTGAAAGAGAAAAATATGCGCGGACAGTGATTTCACATCAAGGATGGTGTTATTTTAGTCAAACAGAAGGGAAAGGTCGACAGAACCTTTCGTACTGTGCGCTATATTTCTGATGGAGAAATGCTTCGATTGTGTTTTCAGAGTAATTCGGGATTACTTTGGTTTCGCCTTGCTCTGCTGTGTGACTAATCCTGAAACTTGTACACGTTCTTGAAAGCGCTTAAAACAGCTTGCCTGTTTTTTACCTTAAGTTTACATCCTTGTGACATTTTTCTTTGTCGTGATAGGCTGCTGAAACTACTTTGGTTAAGATGGAATTCTCTTATTGAATACAACTGGAGAACGGTATCTGGTTTATGCTTATACAGGATTAACGCAACAATTGTATCTGCTGTTATGGTACCTTTTGAGCTCGAAGCCGAGTCTCTCTTCTCTTTCTTTCCCGCGCTCTCTTGCATTTGCAAACAATAATGCCGATAATTATGCCAAGAATCAAGAGTGCACCTAACACGACCAAGAAAATAATCCACCAGGCCAAAGCTGTAATAAAAAATATGCATGATATCAGAATGAAAGCCACACATGACATTGTTGACCTTTTTCAAAGGCTTTGTATCAGTATTAAAGGAATGGCCATAAGTAAGACGAAACGGGAATTATGGCGTAAGATTAAGATGTGAGTAGCAATAAAGTGTTAAAATGGCTTTTTAAAGCCTGACTCTAATTCAAAATTTCTCTCCCTAGTTTCGAAGTGAGGGAATCCATCGAAATTTTAAAACAGGAAGACGAAATTTCCATATATGTTTGCCAGAGTATAACGACCTGCGTTTTGATGCTTACAAATTGCGAAGGTACGATAGTAATACGTAAACCTTAAGATTAAAAAACTAATAACACAAGTGACTTCACGAGTGAAGGTTAAAAAAAAAGTGAAAAAACTTTAAATTCATCGAAAACCTGTAGATAACTTTGTTAATTTTACAAATTACTGTATATAACTAAAAATGGCTTACGTGCGGGTTCGGTTTCATGGCCAGTTTCTTCGTTGAAATTGGGTCCATACGAGTTAAAAGCACCGACCCGTATCATGTAGACAGTCTCAGGTTCGAGAGACTTAATCCTATAAGAGTAGCCTGTAGTTCCAGCGGTTGCTGTTTGATTATGCTCGCTGTAGGTCTTTTCACCATATGCTCTGTATTGCACCGAGTAAGTGCGAACGTCGAAAGTTTCAGCATCTTCCGACGGTTTCCATTGAATGCTCAGCTCATCAGATTTGATATCAAAGATCTCCACGCCACTAGGCTCTGGAGGTTCGGCTGAAAATAGAGAGGAAACGATCATAAGTTTTGAAACGAGCGGACAATCAAATCGATTATCTGAAGGCTAAAGGATAAAACAAGGTGCAAGTATCAAAGTTACAGAGACATTTGAAAATTACTCAAACAATAAGGAGTGTTTTTGGATATTACAACTTGAGGGTTTTTGCCTCTGAGTGCGTCAGTGGCTTTAACCGCTAATTTTCCACGTTATTTTGCTTTCCTTATATCCTTCCAATCACATGATGCAAGAAAAGCCTCCTTATGTAAAGTTTCTATTGACATTAATCCTTTCTTACCCGGGTGACTAAATCTTACGAAACAAGTGGTCCATTGACCATCAGTTTGTACATTCTCCACAACGTTTTTTTTTTTTTTTTATAAATATCTCATTTTCCCAACAGGATTATTTGTTCAGCAATCAAAAGCTATCTTAGTTGGCAATCAATGATACTTTAAGAAGAAATTTGAAATTAGGAGTGTTGCCACTTCTTCTGGATTGGACACCACTCCATGGCAGGTAATTCATCTGCAATTTTGTTACGTTTCAGTAGCAGTGGCAGTTTGTTGTCACCCACTCATACATATCCATGCTTCTGGGTGGAAAGAGGAATTGTAAGAGACTGGAGTCCCAGGATATATCGAATCCCGCTCAAAATTGTAAAAAGAACTTGTAAAGAACCAGTTTTACTACGACAAACTTACTCTTTGGAATGACTTTGGACACTTTTAGCCGCTTTACAAACCCATCTTCGGCTTCTTTAATTGTCGTTTGGGCGACTGAGGCCTTTTTATCTACTATAGTTGTCTCATTTTTGGGATTAGTTGTTACAATTTGGATAATAACGTTGAAATCCACTACCACACTTCCTTTCCTAGAATATCAAGGGACAAAATTCGTTTTAGAAAATAATCATACTGTAGCTACAATGATTAATCACATGGTTATTTATAGAAAGATGGAAAACAGGGGACAAGTTAGAGGGAAAACATTTCTTTTTTTATTTTACCGAGCATGAAATAAGATTTTTCCTACTCTGGTTACTCAGCTGTAGATAATCGGAGCGTAAAATCGTTGGTCTGAGTATTGATTAATATAAAGGGACTCAGAGGGTTTACTTAGCCCCATGCAATAACGACTTACATTTCTTATTAATCATGGAATTGTTTGTTATTTATCTTTGATAAGCGAGAGCGATTCTTTGGATAAATCATTGATATATGGTATTTATCCACGCTTAAATCAATACAGCACATGAAATAAGAGATATGCTATTACATACTATTGAGAATGTTTCACGCGAAAATGAAATATTCTGAGTTTTTAACCGTAGAGTTAAGAAGTAGGAATACGCTCTGGTACTCACGTCATTTTCAAAACCTCTGTTCTTATATATCCTGAAGTATTTCTGTAAACGATGTCCATCTGAAACATAACAATAGGTGTTGCTTTTATTTCATTTACTAGTACTCTTTAAACCTCTGCATTCAAAGCATTGAACCTATTGACGAAGTGACATATAGGGAGAAAGACGGTTGTTAAGACATTCGGTAGAATAAGTGGTACGAACAGACTGTGGAGAGGAAGGAAAGAATTCAGAGAAAGAGGAGGGAAGGAGGAAGGACTGAAGAGAGGGAGAGGGTGGGAGAAATGGTAAAGTGTTGGGAGGGGAAACGAAGGAGGGAGAAGAATGGGAAGGGAAGAGAAAAAGAGAAGGAAGGGCGGAAGGGGATACGAGGAAGAGAGAGAGAGGAAAGAGGGAGAGAGGGAAGAAAGAGAGAGAATGAAAGGTGGGAGGGGAATGAGAGAGGAAGGAGGGAATTACTGGCGGGAAGAAGAGAGAACAGAGGAAGAAGGAAAAGGAGGGAGGAAGGATTGGAGAGGAAAGCAAAAAGTGAGGAGCGGAGGAGAAAAAAAAAGGAATGGGGAGAGAGAGAATGGAAAGATGGAAGGAGGAAAACAAATCATACCTCCTCGGTAAAGTTTTTCTCGATTGCCTTGTATTGTGGCGATGACTTATTCTCCAGCTCTTTAGTGTAGTTGTAATTTTCAACCTGCAGGGCCATTTCCACCTTGACTTCAACTGTAATAAAAAAAAGGAAAGCATGCCCATCTCTACAACGGAAAAAATATTATACTTCTTCCTTCCACGCGACGGACTTCGCCGAAAAGGAGGGAATGCTTCTATGTATTAGGAAGTTATTAATTTATTTGCGACATGTAACAATAAACGACACTTGTGGTTCCCTTTGAATCTAAAGCAAAGTGCGTTTAGGCTGAAAGGCTTATCATCATCTACCTACCAATAACATGTAGCGTGATGGTGTGTGCCTTTTCGCCTGCTTTACAGGTGTAGGCACCAGAATCTGCGATGGCCGCGTCAGTAATTTCAAGCAGTCGTCCTCCTCCTTTAACCTTCGACAAAAACAGCGACAGCGTTAGTCTTATTTTCTACAAATTTTTGTTTAAAAGTCCTTAATAGCCCTTTATTAGCAAGGCTATTCGGAGCCAGCTTCTTAACCTAAGCAAGACTAATGATAAGTGATAAGATATTTAGAATGAAGATCTTTTTCTGCACGGCTTCTATTACAAGGTCACATTCACAATCCTTGGTACTCAATTGGCTCTTATTGGCACTAAGCTCCTTGGCACTTATTGGTTCGATTGAATCTACAGCCCTGATCTCTCCTCAGGAGACACTTTCTGAATTATGAAAAGTGTCCTCTGAGTTAAGTTTCCCTTGAATGAGGACAACTGGAAGTGCATTTTTCCTTGTCAGGACCACAGTTTGTGTCCTTAGAGTGTGGTGAAACCATTCCACACAGGCACAAAGAAGCTTTATTTTTAGCCGGCCGGGAACAAAGTTTGCTTCCCTGGAGTATAGGGATCCCTTGGAAGAGGTTTCCATTCATAGAAATTCCACTGTCGTTAGAAAAACTGATCGTTTTGTTTAGTGCCATTGGTTTATTTTGTGAAAATGACCCCTGTAATAGAATTTTAACTTTGAAGAAAATTACCAAAAAAAGAAATGATGAATTCTAGAAACGTGGAGAAAGGCAAGCAGGAAGCTAGATGTGTTCAGTGAAAAGGGATTACAGGTGTTCTTTTCGATATTGGAAGTAATCGAGATATATACAACTCAGCTCGAAATGGGAAAGGCACACATTCTTAACAGTGCCACCGCGTTGTCTTCTGTAATTGGAACGGGAGACCTGCTGCACTCTATCAACAACTGTAGGTGCAGGGAGGAAATACGGTGGGATGGATGGGTGAAAACTATTTAGAAACCGTAAGAATGTGGAGTAAAAATATGACCTGATGGGTAGTATTAAAAAATGTTCAGCTTGCAGCGTGCAACCATCGAATTATGGATGCACGCTGGAGGCTGCTAAGCACAAAAGAAGCGTAAGAAGGGAGGTGCTAGTTTCTTGAGTGCTTAGTAAACCTCCCAAGTACATCCAAAACTCGATGGTTACTCGCTGCATGCTGATCATATCTTTAAAACTTTGATACTTTCAAGCATCTTTCGCTTAGTGTGGAAAATAAAAGAAAGTAGTAGATACAAATGTATAGAAAATAAGGAAGAAAGAGTCACCTTTCTTTTCGCATTTTCGATCTCGGTTCCATCTCGACGTTCCCAAGTATAACTTCCATCACCACTTATGGTGCAGTTCAGAGACACTGACTGTCCCTCGGTTACATTCACAACACCGGTGGCGGTTTTAACAATTACTACAACAACAAAATATGGAACCAAAGTTAGCTAATATATCGTAAACTAACCTCAGCATTATTTCTCATAGATTAGTTCATTTTTAACTTTGGTGAGTCAGATATATATATTTTTTAACTTTATTTCATTTTTGATATTCACTTGAAGGAAGAAATTATTTCGGGAGACACCGATTTAATTTGCCTAGAGGTACAAGAAAAAAGACGGAATTTCCTGATTTTCATTAGAATCGGAACTCGCACGGAAATTCAAAACTTTTCAATAGCAGGAAAATGAAATTCGGAGAAGTTAAGCATGAGTTACTAAATGGCGAAAGTTTCTTTAGCTTAAAAATTTTGACACGAACGCAATTTTTGCCTTTAAGGTTTGACGGCCATCGAGCAATTTAGAAATATGTCTTGAAAGCGCTTGTTCTTTCAAGATTTGTGGCATAACATTTGTGGCAGTACATCTCGATGGTAACAAGGAAAATAGACAACACGTGGCTTGAAAGCGTTTCGTCTTCCAAACGTTTTTTCCCTGCTTTTCTCGTTATTTATTGCAGAATATGTTTCACTTGAGAGCGAGCTTTCAAGTTTGTCAGGTGGGGCTTGACATAACTCATAGTCTGCAAGTTGTTCCTTTAACAGCGAACTGAAACACGCAAGCTTCAATTAATGTTTTCACAAGTCTCTCCAAAGTGATCTGATACAATGCGTATTCGACTAGTCAATAATCCATTCTCTGATTACACGCGTAGGCTCACTTACTGCTATCACTTACCGAAAACTTACCTGGCTTGTAAGCGGAAATTTTATTGTTGCTTCTACGCAATCAAAGTTCAGCAATGAGGTAAAGAGATCAGAAAATCGAAATAAAAACAAGAATTGTACTTATCTGACTCAAGCAATTGCCGTAATCCAGCTTTTATGTTCTAGGAGAGAGAGAAAACTGCAGGTTAGATAGAATAAATAATGACAATAAGCTCATTTTATCGTAGATTACTGATGATGTGAAAGGGAAGGCTAGTGTTCTTCACGTTTCTGGGCCGCGAACCGTTTTTGTTAACCGTGATTTCAAACTAACCTAGACCTAGCTCAGTGCCAACGTTTTAAAACTTGCGTGACATTCAAACTTGCGTGACCTGCTGGACATGTCAAAACACGTTTTCCAATGCAGTGACACTTCGTAGGCAGTTCAGCTTGTACTTTGCCCTTATCACGAGGCTTGGGTGAATTATGAAGTGATGAGTTTCACAATACTAATCTGTATCCAAAACATAATTTTTGAGCATCGTTTGGTTGGAAGACAGGTTTTTCAAAGTACACTGATCTCAGTAAGCGATCCGAAAAATCTCAGTGAGAGTGGCTAGACCTGGTTGGAAAAAAGGGAGTAACGTGTGACGTGATTGATCTAAGTGTTTTGTCAAGTTCATCCCGAACTTGAGAAAGTAGGACCGTTACCGAGGCTTTTATTAAAAGCTCCGGCAGAAATTAGAGTTATTCCAGTTGACAAGTGAAATGCTAAATAACATTTGTGTTCCTGAATACCGCAAATGTGTCTTTTTGTCTCCACAGTACTGTAAGATGGGCACACGTTCCATAAGTCTGAAGTCTTTTCGATCCTAAGAACTGTCGGTATTTACTTGTCAATCAATCGCAAAGGTTGCATTAAAAAAGAAAGTTGGAAAAATTCAGGTGACAGTTTTTTCCAAATGCATATCATCTTAGTTGATTTTAAGCCAAACTTTAATCTGTCTTAATTTATGGCTGGAATGTTGTTGTTTTGGGTTATTTTGCAATGGACAAATAAGATGTCGTTACAATTTCATTTGTTGCAGACTTAAAAGTTTCCTGCGGTGAAATATCTCTCGTTTTTGCTTATTTCAAATTCTCGCTTAACGTACTTACTATTTGGTAAACCCTAATATTGTTTATTTAATGTACCGCAGACAATAGAGAAAATTCTGAGATTGGTCTTCAGACACAAGGTAAACAAAGAGTCACTAGAACCGTCGAACCAGTTTAGAGCTTTGTCTGCACATAAATACATCTTGGTGAAAAAAGCAAACATGAACAACGTTGAGGTGTTAACCATCTAGACGTCTTAAAAGCGACGAATAAATGCTCTTAACGAGTGTCCTTCGTAGAGTCATCCACACACTACTGAAAGAGCGCTGAAATGGTTCGATTTTAGAACAGTAGACAATGACGTGCACTAGAGCGTAGCACCACCTTGCTTATGCCTAAATAGCTCAATAGGCGCGTGAAATATTTCGGGTCGCAATTTCACCACCTCATCTTTGATACTTATGGTGAATTGTGATATGTTTTCCGAGTGATGTTTTTCATCAAAAAACACGATATCTTAACCCTGATTCTATGACGCAGTCGTAAGACAGTAAGTTGTAACAAAGTCAGTGAACCGTAAATCGGTGCGATAAAGATCCAATTAAGGGGATTTTAAAATCGACGCGTTTTCATCGAATTTGTTAATGTTATTCATTTTCTTTCTAGGAAAATGTACATATTTGAATAAATTGCAACATGATTTTGATTTTTGTAATGTTTCTCAACTTGTTTGTTTGTCTTTTTGTTGGCAGATTCTTATACGTATCCTTTTTCTCTGCGGGTGTAAGATAACTACAGTATCAACTGACATCACGCCATGTCTGTGACGAAAACTCTAGGGAATCTTGATTCCTTGTAAATGGAGACTCTCACATTTAAATTCTGACTGTAAAAATCTAGAGCAAACATTCTTCTTTTACTCGTCGCAAGATGCTTTCCTTAAGGACAAGCATTGTTAGGCTAAAAGCTTCTATTAATAATTGCCTCGAGGTCATTAAAGATATGAAACATAACAACACATCTACCATATTTTAATAATGTCGCTCTAAGGTACAACTGTTGTGGAGATACGCATTTTGTATAGCCCTGTGTTACTAATCTCCCCCATAGAGTAAGTTGAGTAATGTACGATAAAATAAAGAATTGAACATAACAACATTCTTCCGCCCTAATCTTCTGAGAGACAAGTTTCTGCCAAGAAACGATTTATAAAGAAGCTACTCGTATGTTGGTTTCTGCACTCGACGTTTGTAATTCCCTAAATTAAGTGCAGTAACTCGATTCACCACCAACATGAGAGTTCGAGCTGCCAGGTAGAAAACGGAAACGTATTTACGCATTTACAGAAAGCTGGCTCGCGAGGCTTTCCTCTTCGTTTGTTAACTACGCCGTAACTAAACAACTCCTGCTAGCCACGACATGAGCGAGAGAAATGATTCAATTTCCTTTGAAAGACAGAGACCCTTTTAACCCTAACACTTACTGATAACGTCCTTACCTTTGTGATTCCTCGTGCAAAGGCGATGTGTATACGTTGGTTTACAACGCGGTCTTTGACGAACCTCGATCGTTTTAGAAGACTGCATCAAGGTATTTGTTATCCCGCAGTGTGGGCGTGCTTTTCATGAATATGTTAATTATTAATTATTGCATTCTTCCGTAGAACCATGTTCAGGAAAGCGGGTTACAAACTAGTTTGTTCGCAGTCAATAGTTTACACACCTCTGAACAAATTTCTTGAAACTCTCTTTCTCGTAACATGGGTGGATGAATTTCAAATATATTTCATCTACAAACCCAATTCCACCTAGTTAAGAAGAAATTTCCTTGATTAATTAGCTTCTACTTCCTGTCATTTCTTTGCTGATCAAAAGTTATTTTCTCATATTTGTCTAAGATTCAGTGGGCCACAGGCGGTGTGTGCACTCTGATTGCGTTGCATCATGGTCGTAAACCGAAAAATAAGTCATTTGCATCCTGTCGTGGTCGAGTGAACAAGATAGCGTGAATAAACGTGGAATTTATTGGAAATTCACTGTCAATTGCCGCTCCTTCGGAAGTTAAAAAGTGTTTGCGGGCCTGTGCGACTCCTATTATTCCTCCGTGACAAATTAATTATTATTAATTACGAGGCAATTGAAGAGATTCATAAAGAATCGAAACTGCAGTCTTGCCCGAGAATCTATTCATTTGGCAGCAGTTTCACACACAGCCAATGGCTGTGTGAATAATATCAAATTCGCGAGTTATTTAACGGGGAATCGTCCCTTGGCATGCAAACGCATTTCAAAGAGGCAGCGACCTTCAAATACACGAACTATTTTCCATGTCATACACTTAAGGCGTGAATAAGGGATTCGCGAAAGGAGAAGCCTTACACCTCCTACACCAAATTCGTCACACTCAACGTTTATTAAAAAACGTACAGAGTTTCAAATATGCTTAAAGAATAGAGAATACCTAGAGTAAGGTTTTGAAAAACGTATCTCTGGAGTTATTTTCTGCGGGAGAGACTGATACTTAGAAAAAAAAGAAAAAACCGCACACACATGAAAATATTACCTTTTGTAACACAATCTCATCCGGCTTTGCCAAGTGGAAATGACACCCTAAAACTAACCCTTAATATCACATCGTAAACGGAAGTCATAAAAGGATATCCTAACAACAGCTAAGCTTTCAGGTTAGAAGATTTAAAAGCGCAAGCGAATGGCAGGGGTCGCTCAAGCAATCAACACCTTTTAACGATCGACTACCTTTTGCATTCCGATGTTCCAGCGGCGGATTTGGACCCCCCGGTCCAAATTCGCTAGCGGATATGGACCCCCCGGGTCTTTTTACTTTAATCTCGTCTGCAATTTCCTAGGATAAATTTACTCTGAGTCCTGAGTCGATATTATTTTAAATTAAACCGAAAGCTCAGTTATAAATAAGCTTTTGTTAAACCGTCTTACTCGACAGCCTTTATCATAAAGTTGATAGACTTTTCTCATGAAGGAGATATGATCATCTATGAGCTGAAAGGAAGACAAAGGGACCTTTAGAAATACTGAGATAATCGATAGCTGGCAGAAACTATGACGCCATGACGGCCTATGACAAAAAACAACGGCCGTGCACTCAGAATAAAGCCCTCGCCTTCTTTCTGATAACTGAAGAGCACATATATCGAAGTTTACCGTACTAATTATTTTTCCCAGAAAAAAACGTACTTGAAGCTTGTGTGTCCTCAACCGTCCAAAATAAGATATCGCAGCTCGACTTTAAATTGTGATTTTTCCCACACATTTCAACGGACGCTATTCAAACTGCTTTTGACGCAAAGCTCTTTCTGTGCTTTATTAAGAGAATTGGGTCCCAAGAGCCATAAATATCAGAGACAAAAATGCGGGACTAAAATGCGGGGCTAGGCCAAGTTTTTAAAAACAGTGACGCCATGTTTTAAGACGTCGTGGTGTAGACAAAATTATCTATGGCCCGGACTGTTAAATGGGACGAGATGTGGATCAATCGAACACGGAGTAAACAAAAAAAAACCAAATTAATGAATGAAAGAAAAAACATAGTTGTTCACGAAATAAGGGATCAAAAATGCTCTCTGAAAAGTTAGATTCAGAGCTATGTGAGAGTATACTCTAAGTCGCAATCTTTTTTTTGCTGTTTGCCAATCCTTTCTCGACCCATTGTCTTTTATTCGTTTGCAAAACGTTTCTTTGCGTTTTGTTTCATTCTTTTTTGCAAAACCAACCTCCACGTCACTCCAAGTCAACAACAAGTATTCACTAATTCGGAAGGTACCGGAATTTATTTGGTGTCACCTTACATATGTAAATGAGCTTCTGAATATTATCAGTATAATTCACACCTTATACACCTGCTCTAATGACCTTTCTGCTAATATAACAATAAAACAGCATATTTACTAGAACCAAATAAAAGCTTCTGCAAGAGTAGAAGACGGGGAACCCCACTGACTCCAACTTCCGTTAACTCGAAACAGTTTTTTTCCCTTAGGATTTAGCGGGTTCTACCGTATTTCCAAATTGTAACACGGCTCGGCTAACTCTGTTTAATAATGAAACAAGGATGGTTCCCCTCTCCCCCTCTTCCCTTAGAAGAAATATCCCAAAGACAATAAGCATTATGTGTGATGCTCTAACGAACTTATTATCAGTTGTAGTTGTGAAGTTAATCTGATGCTTTTTTTCTGTCGCTTCACCTTTTCTGACATCCTTGGTAATCCTAACGTAATTTTATATTTAAACCTTCCTATTCCCTGTAAAAGTTCCTTGTTTAGTTGTTGTAGTTTTGTTTTTGTTGTTGTTCCTGTTGTCGCTGTTAATGTAATATAATGTAAACTAAGCCATGATTTTGCTCTCGAGACGGACAATCAATTCGTCAAAATTTGGTCTTGCGTTAGGATTTGGATTCCAACAATCTCTCATTGCCTGGTACCTAAAACGAAAAAAAAAGGTCGCATAAAGCTGCGTTTAGTCGAGAACTCATATCTTTTTTTAATTTTGGTAGTTTGGAAACTTTGTCCTCATTTCATAAACATTACGAAATGTAATCTATATCAGACATTGCGAAATGTAATCTATATCACATCATGAAGGAATGAGGTAAACATTTCCACCATTTGCGTGTTTTGCAAAATTTGTTAAAAAAAGAAAACTGAAGGCTTAGTTCTGTTTTATACAAGCACTGCCCAGATCGTTTCCCAAATAGCTAATTACCTCTACTTATTTTCTTTACCACAATTGGCAGTAATGTCGCATTCTGATTGACCAATTTGCTGTAATCGGTAAGAGTACCGACGAAGCAGCTGCGTCAATGTGTCACGCAATGCATTTATCAGCTCTCAAACATGAATGACGTGGAAATTCTGATGTCGAAGTTATGGTGGAAAATAAATCGAGAGTGCTTTAGCGAGATCTGTACTCCTGTCGAAAGCGATATTTGTCATGTTGTGGACCACTCTGATGACGGATAACGTTGTCGATAACAAACCACTCTAAACCACTGTCGATTTGTCAAACCGAGTGGAACGATGTATAAATATATATATATTTTTTTTTTGAGTACTCGGTGTAGTATACGTTTAAATAGTCAACGAGAAGTGAAAATTATGGCAAGCCTTTAAAAACAAGAATAATGTAAGAATATCTTACATTTCGTCTGAACATCCGTTAGGCTTTTCCATTCTGTATCCGTTCTTTAGCTTTTCTATCAGTTCCGAGGTGCTATCGCCAGCATAAGGTTTCAACCCTAAAAGCAGGGAATATTTTTTAGTTACATTAGCCGTCTTAAATGTCGTTTTTAAGACACGTAACGCCAAGATTTCTACTCTGACTAATACACAGAATCTAACCACCCAATGCTCGAAGCTTCACCTTTTCAAAATGGACTATGAACATCAATCTACCCGTCATCATCTTAGGTTCATACACAAAAAAATGTCACGCAACAGACTCCTTTTCCTAAGCATTTAACGCGAACTTCTGACTGAAAGCAGTTTTGAAAATTTTGAACGTTGTGCATTCTTTTTAGAAAATGCATCACAATGTTGAATGACAAATGAAACTGCAACTGATTCGCTCAGATACAGTTTAAACTTAAGAGAAATAGGGTATTTTTCTGCATCCGACTCAGTACTAGATGGAAACAAATCCTACCTCCTGATTCTATTTCCCAAAGCAGTACTCCATAAGCCCACCTGCGTTAAAACAAAAGCAAATTAAAGATTAAAAAGAGTCCTGAAAATAAAAATTAATCTTTTGCCCATTATAAATAGATTTAAGAAAAATTAGTATCTGGAATCAGCGAGATATTTTGTACTGTTTTAAATATCTTAGTTCGTTCTAAAGTCACAGTCTCCCTCCCTCTGGCTAAATGTATAAAGCGGGGTACTGGTGAACTGTCAAGGAAAATTACGAAATTTCAGGGGCTTATATTGGTAGATGAGCATTTCAGTCAGGATTTTAGCCTCATACCCTATAGCCATTTAAGGTGACTTACACATCAGATTTCATCGTGAAAGTGTATGTCTCCAAGGACTCGATAGCCATCCATTTAACCGGAAGTTTGCCCTGAATGCAGCAAATGAAAGAATCATATACATGAATTTGAAATTATTCGACAGAATGACTGCGTTTAGGTTGGCCTTGGGTTGCCAGATGATTTTATCCAATTATACGTTATAAGAATTTTTTGGGAAGAAGAGATAACGCAGTGGTGAGGCTGCTCTTGGACCATGCGTCATATAAAGGTTGAGTTTTATGTTGGTTCTCGTCCTCTCCCCGGGGGTTTCTTCCGGGTCATCCAGTTATCCCCAACCCCCCTCCCCCCTCCTTCACAAAAAAACACCTTTCCAAATTCCAACTGAACCTGCAAATAGTGGGAAAAAAGAGCCACCTCATGGAATTTCTATTGCCAAATTCAAATTCTTTCCATTAAAAGAGAACACGAAACCGTCATAATGTAGAGCACAAGAACATGCTGTACGGAGGGTGTACGAATCAGATCTGAGAACTACAAAAAATTATTACATTTGTAAGTCTATATACTTTTAGCACTTTCAAAGAGTAATTTACCTGAGTTTCTTTCTTGTACATCAGCTGTTCATACATACTACGGGCCATACCATAATCGGAAACCTTGGCAACGTAGTCCTTCCCCAGTAAAACATTCCTTGCTGCAAGATCTCGGTGGATACACTGATACAAACAAAATTCCAAGTCATGTTTGATTGTTGTAGGTATTTGTTAAAGTCACTTGACAAAAATCAAATTTCTCAGCAGTTTGTGCTTTATTGAAATTCACCCATCGTTTGAATGGTATCATAAAGGAATTCAGTTCACAGAATCAAAACCAAGAATGACGATTCATCTTACATTATTGCGTAACTCTATGGAGAAATTTCCCCAAACAAAAACCAAAACATTTCAAGTAGAAAATGAGGTGAAAGAAGAAAAAATATCAATGATATTGGTAGATCCGATCCCCAACTGTCACAGTCCTGCCATGCATTAACAGGCGGTAGGCGGCTGTCAGACAATTTTCCGTTGGCTACAAATGTTTCAGAATGCTGGAAACCACTTCTCGGGGCGTGTTGCTTTGTAACACACCATGCTTGCCACGAAGGCATACTTCAATTCTGCCGCCTACTCAGCTCACATCATACATGTATTACAGTTTCTAACGGCAAACCTGTATCAGAGGTTAAATTACAAAAGAAAAAACAATCGGTAGACTAGACAGTGCAGAGGGTTGCTGGGGTTATGGCAGGAAGAAAAGTAAGTATGCTTAGAATGTTCCTCCTACTACTTTGAACTCACCCTGCAGTCCGCTAAATGTGCCATTCCTTGCGCTACATCAACGGCTATCGATGTTTTCATATGTTCTGTTAAGCCGCTTGTAGTGTTATTTCCATCTTGTTGTCTGTACCGTTTTAAGAAATCTAGCAGGCAGCCGTTTTCTGCTAGCTCTATTATAACAAGTAGGTGGTCTAGAGATAAAGAAATGAATGGAATGAAAGCAATGGGCTTGTCTAAAATAGTTTCAAACATTAAGGGCGCCAAGTTGCAAAATGTTTAGCATTACGGTTATGACATGTAAAATAACGTTCATTATAAGGAAAAACAGCAATTGTTAGGTTGGTTAGATAAAACCCATGAAAATGGGACCAAAGGAACGAGGATGGCAAAGAATGAAGAAAATTTACTCTGATTGCAAATGACGAGCTTAGGAAATTGGGTCGTTCTATTGGATGTGTAATGTTACTTTTGACGTAAAATGAAAACACAAAATATTGGTTTGATGAAAAAAGAATCACAATAAAATAGTACGACTGAATGAGGAAGAAGCGAGAATGGTCAAAGATTAAAAAGATTTAAAAGGATTGCAAACAAACATAAAAAAAATCAGGCTAAAAGTTGCACTAAATGTGAATTAACTTCCCAAGCAACTACCAGAGGTCATTGACGTGTAACTTCTTCTCATGATATTGATACATTATCCACCACATATGTGAAGAGCTTGAGAGTCAAAGCACCACTTAATCATAACTAATTGAGTAATAAATGTGTGATAACTAGAAGGGAGAATTGCACTTTAATTTTTTAGAGTAAAAGGGTTACTGTAGGGTTCTGAATGATCGTTCAAGTATTTTACTGACCATCTTGAGTGCATGCTCCGATCAAATTCACAAGGTTCGGATGGTGTCCTACATTAGCCATGATTTCCAACTCATGGTACAAGTCTTTTATTTCCACCTCTGTGGCAGTTGCTGTTAATTAAAGAAGGGTGAAATTTGCTGACATTGAAAACAGGTTTATACATGTAACTTATACGATGCTCACAAGAGTTTTTCGTTATTCATGGAAATATAGAGAAAGTCAACATCAAATTTCCCATGAGAGTATCTCTTGGCTACAGCCGGCTGACCGGCTGACCGGCTGACCGGCTGACCGGCTGACCGGCTGACCGGCTGACCGGCTGACTGACTAGCTGACTGGTTTACTGACTGACTGACTGACTGACATTCTGACTACCTGACTGACTGACTGACCAACTGACAGACTGACTGACTGACCAACAAACCGGTTGACTGACCAGCTAACTGACTGACTAACTGACTAGGCTGGCTGGCTCGGTTAGCTGTCTAGCTGGGTGTCTGGCTGACTAATTGACAGACTGTCGTAATTCCTAGTTGATTAGCTGACTAGTTCACTGACTGTCTGGCTGCCAAACTGGCTTACTAACCGACTAACTAACTGACTGCCTATCTGATTGATCAAAACTGACAAGCTGACTGCTTAACATGCTACACGTGAACCTTACATGCAAGACTTACGTTTTAAAGCTTTTACAGCGCAAGGAATGATTTTCCCGTTATCTTGTAACAGCTCTCCTTTAAAAACGACGCCAAAGGCTCCCGAACCTAGTTCACTCAACAGTTTAATATTCTCGTAGGGAAACTCTTCCCAGTTCATCTCGCCCGACCTGTAAGCAGCGTTTGTAAACGAGTATGTTAATCCTCCAACATCCTCATCATGGCAAACTGCGACTTTGTTCTGAAAGAGAAAAATGTGTGCAGCCAGTGATTTCACATCAAGGATGGCGTAATTTTAGTCAAACGGAAGGGATAAGTCGACAGAAACTTTCGTACCGTGCGCTATATTTCTGATGGAGAAATGTTTCAATTGAGTTTCCAAAGTAATCCGGGATTACTTTGGTTCAGTTGACTTGCTGTGTTGTGTGACTAATCCAGAAACTTACACCACTTTCTTAAAAGCGCTTTAAGCGGCTTTCTTGTTTTTTACCTTGAGTTCTCACCCTCGTGATATTTGATATATCGGTATCTGGTTTATGCTTATGTGGGATTGACGCAATAATTGTATCTACTGTTATGGTACCTTTAGAGCTCGAAATCGAGTTTCTCTTTTCTTTCTTTCCCGCGCTTTCTTCCGTCTGTACACAATAATGCCGATGAGTATGCCAAGAATCAAGAGTACACCTAACACGGCCAAGACAATAATCCACCATGCCAAAGCTGTA